CTGAGACAGCCGTTCCGGCGGGGTTTTTATTCAACCTCCTGGTGTATAACTAGAGTGCTTTGGGGAAGGGAGGGAGGGAGGGAGGGAGGGAGGGAGGGAGGGAGGGGAGAGAAGAGAGAGGGGGCAGCCAGCTGGCCGCTAATGAACACCCCCAACACCCCGTCCGGAGCCGCGTCCCGCCACGGGGACGGGCCGCCCTACACAGTGCACCGCGCGACAAGAGTTTGCGGAAGGGGATCGATTCGCCCTGATTACACAACAAAGCGAACAATTTTCTGTCATGTCGGTAAAACAACATCAACACACACTAAATAATAAATATGCATAGGGAAAAGAGGGGGAGGGGGTACGCGCCATACTACAAACACTAAAGAGGGAAAGGGGGCTGGGCAGTGTGCCAGATAATGTTCAGGGTTGTTACAGGTTCTGGATTTTCAATTTTACTGACTTTTCCCTGACTTTTCCCTGACTAAAATCCCGATTTTTACTGACTTTTTAGGCAAGAAAGTAGGCAGTATTTCGAACAACGGGAGGGAAAATTTCACTAAAAACAAGAGTATGCACAAAAGCGGCGACTGGCTGCGCCGGCAGGGCCCGGAAAGTGCCACTGCCACAGCTCGAGCGTCAATTTTACGCATTTTCCCTCATTCATTTGCCAGGAGGCAGTCAAATGGAGAAATTTTACTGACTGCTCTCTCAATTTCCCTGACTTTCCCTGACTTTTCCTGACCCATTTTCTAATTCCTGACTTTCCCTGACTTTCCCTGACTTTCACGGTCTGTAACAACCCTGATGTTTCACTGACACAGAAAGAGTACTGCTGAAGTGCCCTGCTCTTTGCCACAATACACTGATAAACTAAGTGTTCAAGTGCTCAACACTTGTAAGTGTGCAACTGCAAATTGAATACTTGCAAGTGTGCAACTCCGTAGTCGTACACTTGCAAGTGTTAAACTCGGTAGATGTGCACTTGCAAGTGTGCAACTCCTCAGTTGCACACTTCCTTAGATTGGACGCTTACTGTGTAGGAAGTGTTCAACCGAGGAGTTGCACACTTGCAAAGTGCACAACTACCGAGTTGCACACTTGCAAGTATTTAACTTGCAGTTGCACACTTCCAAGTATTTAACTTACAGTTGCACACTTAGAGGTGTTGAGCAGTTAAACACTTAGTTTATCAGTGTATTATTGTACCATTAAGAAGTATCACACGAAGGTATCACTTGTCTACGGCTGTATAACGTAAACTTCCAAATCTAAATTAGATTCTTTCCTTTTTTTGCCCGTTTCCTAAATTGCCGAACCGCGACTAGCTACGAGTGTCTCGGATGGCGAGCTCAGCTGCCCGACCTGCACCCAACATCAAGATAAGGCAAACAAGCGAGGATTTGGCAGGGGAGCGAGAGAGCCTGGGCGAGAGCCTGGCCGAGAGTGCTGGGGTGAGAGCCTGGGCAGAGCACAAGGGAAGGCGCTTGCGGTCGGGGAGACTGCTCCCGCGCCGCTGCGCTCCGCACGATGTCGCCGTCGCCGCCTTCGATTCGCCTTCTTCTCCGCCCAAGCCCAGTGGATAGCGGGGATAGCGCGCCGAGGTGAGACGGCGAGGAGAAAGGGGAGAGGACAAGAGGGACGAGAGCCCAGGGAGAATAGAATAGAATAGAATAGAATAGAATAGAATATTGCTTTATTAGGGTACTCTTTTAAGAGGACTTGTAAGTCCCGATTGACAAAAGGGCACCCGCTCCCTCAATATTTACAAATATTGTAACAAAAAAAGCAGAGAAGTCTGCACAGTGTAGAAGTAGTAGTAACAAAAATAGACAGACATAAAGTAGTAAAAGTAAAAGTAGTACATACATAGTGTAGTTCCACACATAAATCACAAACATTGTTCTTCATATTTCTTAATAAAATAAGTGTACATATCAGTTCTCAATTTATTTGGTGTGCTGTACATAAGATATTTGCCAATGTTGAACTCATTCCAGAGTTTGCAAGAGGTGACAAGAAAGGATTTGGTAAATTTGGCTGAGTCATGTGGTGGTAAAACCATTGTGTCTTTTGTAAACCTGTTCTGCCTTGTGCTGACATTTGAGAGTAATGAGTAGTTTTGGAATAAATATTCTGGTTTACCAGTCTTCATTATTTTCCACACCAGTATACATTGTTGCACCACTCTCCTATCACAAACCTTAAGAAACTTCAGGTTAATATATGACGGAGTAATGTGGTCAAATTTTCCAACACCAGTTATAAACCGAACACATGCATTCTGGACTCTCTGCAACCTGACAGTATAAGCATCTAACATATCGTTGAACATTACAGAGCCATAATCAAATAGGGGAAAGATTAGAGAACTAATAAGTTTAGTTCTAACTGATGTTGGTATTAGAGGCATATTTCTTTTTAATTGGGCTAATGTTCTAAATGACTTTTGCATTACTGATATGCTATGTTCACTCCAGGTGAGTGTGCAGTCTATTATCACTCCTAGATTCACAACTGTTGTTTGATAAGGTACAGAAATACCATTGATGGAGACACAAGGGGGATTTCCACTGAGCTTCTTCAATACAGACAAATTTTGACCAGAACCAATAATGATGGGTTGAGTTTTATCAACATTCAATGCCAAGTTATGTTTCAGGCTGTATGACACAATACTAGCAAGATCACAGTTTATTTTCTCCACAGTATCTTTTATATTTTTAGGTAAAAAGTCAGTGTAGACTTGAAAGTCATCAGCGTATAGGTGGTAGCTGCAGTGTACAAGAACATTGCTTATGTCATTGATGTAAAGAGAGAAGAGAAGTGGTCCCAAGACACTCCCTTGAGGTACACCAGTTTCAGGGAAAGCCCAGTCAGAGATATAGTTTTGCCCAGAGACAACTCTGTGACACCTTCCACTGAGATATTCTGATACCCAGTTCATGGCACTTTGAGAAAAACCAACGGCCTTGAGTTTAGATAGCAGTAGCTTATGATGGACTCTGTCAAAAGCCTTACTAAAATCTAGTAAAACTAGTACATTGAGTCTACTCTTGTCAATGGCTCTCTTGAGATCATCAGTTACTTTTACAAGTGCTGATATGGTGCTGTGCCCCTTTCTGAATCCAGATTGCAGTGGGTTTAAAATATTGTGCTCTTCCAGATAATTAATTATTTGTTCATGCACAAGTTTTTCAAAGGCTTTGGACAAAACACACAGTAATGATACAGGTCGGTAATCTTTGGCTTGAGTTGGGTTTTTACACTTAGGTATAGGAATTATGTCAGCACTTTTCCAAATTTTAGGAAATACACCCCTGACTTTCCCTGACTTACACTTAGGTATAGGAATTATGTCAGCACTTTTCCAAATTTTAGGAAATACACCACTCTGCAAACTATAATTGTATACATGTTCAATAACAGGCGTGATGAAGTCTAGAATAATTTTCAAAAAGTTGACAGGAATTTTATCAATACCAACAGCTTGAGAAGTAATGCTTTTAAGGGAGGGGAAGGGGGGTGGGGGGCAGGCCGGAGGCAGCAAGGCGGAGGCAGGAAGACATTGTAAGGCAGTTTGCTTTCCAGCCCACAGCCCACACCCACTAGGGCGGGAGCGGCAAGGTCTCCCCGAGGCGGCGGCCGTAGGGCCGTAGGCGGCCCGTAGGCGGACCGTAGGCGGACCGTAGGCCGCTGCTGCAGCAGCCCCCGCCCCGCCAGGGCGTTGCTCCAGGGCCACCGCTGGGAGGGGGGGGAGGGGCGGCGTGTGCGGGTGCGGGCTGAGGGGCCGTCCCGCTCCCACACAGGGTCCATCAGGTCAGCACGCACCGCCTCGCCCGCCTCGCCCGCCCCGCCCCACCCCGTTCTGCTCCTTTCTTAATTTCCGCCACCGTCCGCCAGGCAGGAGGCGGCCAGACCGGCCCCAGGACCCCTCGCGTGGGGCGGGGTGAGGTGG